AGCACACTATCTGTTTTTTTGGTTTTTGTCTGTCCCCTCCCATGATAATGTACATTCTCCTTCTCCCCAATAAAGGCATGGATTTTTGTCTGTTTTGTTCACTGTCATATCCCTAGCACCCAGAACATCTAGAATAACAGTGCCAATAAACAATATTTAATAATATTTACTAAAAGAATAAATGGATGAATCAATGAATGCCTCTTACTCCTATCTATTTTACCTTCTCTCCATTAACTTGCATTAATTTATTTTGTTTCTCCTTTCCATTGAGTATATGTAGAATATATGTTATCTTTCATTTCAAAAAGAAGTCTATATAGCACAGGGAAATTAAATACTGGATACTTAACATTTCAAGAAAAGATATATGACTTTGAATTTGTTAATTTCATTTTGGCTACTGAAGTTCAGTCAACATTTTTATATCCCACAGATATTTTTTAAAATATGAAAAGTTTGCATTTATATCCCCTCCCAGAATCTTCTATTAGAGCTGCCATATATATTAAATTTATGTATATTTTAAACCAATAAAAGACAGTATAATAATTTGTGCTTTAATCAGTAGTATACATTTTAAAGAAAGTAAGAGAAAAGATATTTTATTTATCCATATATTTATCATTCTGAATGTTTTCATTCATTCATTCTTAATGATCCAAGTTTCTTTCTTCAGAATTCTGGGTTCTCGGTTCTGCTCCAGCTCTATGGTTTCCCTGGGTTCCCCTGACTTTATTTGCCTTGGAGTTTACATAGTTCCTTCAATCTATAAATATAAGTTTGTTTGTTTGTTTTATGAAATTTGGGAAGTTCTCTACCATTATTTCCTCATATATTTTTTCTGGGCCTTTCTCTTATACATTGCATATGACATTTCAAAACCACCCCATACATCTCTATGGTTTTCTTCTTTCCCCCCTAAATCTTTTCTCTCTCTTCTAATGGTTCTGTCAAACTATATCCAAGATTATTTATTTCTCTATCATATCAATTTTGCTAATAATAAACCCATACAGTGGATTTTTTAACTTCAGATGTATTTTTCAGTTCTAAAATTTCCACTTTTTAAAAATTTTGTGGCTGATAATTCCCAGTTCATTACAAGCAAATTTTTTTGACCTCACTAGTTATAATAGCTCCCTAAAAGTGCTCACGTAATAATTCCATGATTCTGGGCTACCTGGGAGTTGGTGTGTGCTGATTTTCCCTTTCCTTGAGAATAAGTCACATTTTCCTGGCTTTTCATAGGATGAGCAATTTTGGATTATATGCTGGACATGGTGAAAATTATTCTGTAGAGACCATATTGTTCTGCAAAGTATTTTTGTTTCGTGGGGTCATTTTCTTGCTTAGATACAATTACAGACTGTCATACCTCCTATGTATGGTATCTCAGATCTCAGTTCAGTTCTTGAAGCCTTATTTACAATCTATTATCAGTTTGTCATGATCACCATGGTTTCAGGAGTTGGTCAGAGATTGAAGCTGAGTTTTTTTAAAATACAGAATACAGATTCTTCTCTGGCTGTCTCTTTTCTGAGGTTGCCCATTAATCTCCATGTGATGTTGATTGGCCAAGTACTTTCTACGTTAATTTTTCTGGCCAGAAAGTTTTACTATCAGAGTAAAAAATGGAGAATTCAGCCCATGCTGACCACTTGTTTCATGTTTTGACACCTCTCTAAAACCTGATGGCATTTATTCAGTCTTTAGAGCCCTCACATAGTTGTTTTCTGTATAATGTGCAGAATTTTAAGAGGTTATTATGGGAATATCACTTTTTTAGGAGCTTGCCTATTCAAGCAAGTATCAGAAACCCTCCAAAGTGATTTTTTAATGATTTTTATTTATTTATTTGAGAGAGAGAGCGAATGCGTGCACAAGCAGGGGGAGGAGCAGAAGGAGAGGGAGAAGCAGACTCCCTGCTGAGCAGGGAGCCCAATGATGTGGGGCTTGATCCTAGGACCCTGGGATCATGACCTGAGCTGAAGGCAGACACTTAACCAACTGAGCCACCCAGGAGCTCCTCCAAAGTGATTTTTAATTTTGGAGGCTGTTCCATACATTTTCTCTGTATCAGTTAGATCTTTATCATAATATAATAAACTGATAAAGAATCATTAGGCTATCATTTTCTTGAATGGAGGACAAAACACAAAACTTAATATTGAAAAATTTAGCAATGGAGATGAACTACTCGCCACAAGAGGCTATAAGATAATTAGGAAATGTCTAATAACAATTATAAAATATCAAAACTTTAAAATCTGTTTTGCAAGTTTATGTCAAAAGGCCACTGTATGTATAAGACTTTATAATCTTGTAGACACTGAATAACCCTATCAAATAGAGCTCCACAATACACTTAACTCACAGTAAATTTTTCTATACTAGACAAAGTTACAATGAGAAATTCTGTTGTTTTACAAATTACTTCCAAATCTAATGATTTATTTGATTAGTAATACCCTCCTTTTATTTACTGTTTCCCTAAAATAACTAAGTACAAAATATTCACTGACAAGCTATACTGCTCAAAACCAGACAATTCACAGAAAGAAAATTACCTAATACTCTAATGGTCAGCAAGTCAAAATCACACAGGCCAGGCTGCATAGTATATATTGTTTGAGGACATTATTTTGGGGGGAATTAATTTATTTTATTTCAGGGCCCAGATGTTGACATGCTATCTACATTAAGCCCAGAATCATAGGGAATACCAACAATTACACTTATTGGAAGCTCCATATAACGTGCATCAATGACTATAAATACATTATTATATAACAATTAATAATTCCAGCTTCATCTGTGATTTAAGCCAAATGTCAACTAGTTATTATATCCTGAACACCATAAAAGTTCCACTGCAGTTCTCTACCCCTTCAACTCATAGGAAGTGACTGCCTCCTACTTTACCCAAGAAAATTGAGACTATTATGTGCAAACCACTTCAGCTTTTTTCCTTGTCTTCATTTGTATCCTTTCCTCTTTCCCTTCATTCTCTGAATTTCTAGAAAACAACTTCAATATCAAAAATTTTTACAGATGCCTGTCCTGATAGTAATTCTATTTTTAATATTTACATATTGAGAAAATACATATACACCCATGGATTTACAGTCTATTTCCATTAATAACACAGGGCTCAGGGGGCACCTGGGTGGCAGAGTCGGTTGAGCATCGACTCTTGGTTTCGATTCAGGTCGTGATCTCAGGGTCGTGAGATTGAGCCTCAGGGGCTCCACGCTCAGCAAGGACTTGGCTTGGGACTCTCTCTCCCTCCGCCTTTCTCTCTCCCACTCTAAAATAAATAAATAAATCTTTAAAAAAAAAAAAAAAAAACAAGGGGCTCAGTGGGCTATATACCCATAGGCTGGGAACTTTCAAAACTTAATACTTTTTCATGCAATGCCCAAAATTTAGAGGTATTCTCTTTTAAAAGTTCTGACTTTGATATAGGTACTCTACTGACTACGTTAGGATGCTAGGAATACATTCTCTATCATATGAGTATTTGTGTATACAACACAGTGACACAGGGTTACTACTCATTTTCACTTTTGTTCTAAAAGACTATGATGAGAAAGAGCCATTATGACAAATTACTAAGTTTGCAAAGTGGTTCAAGACAATGTTTGCTCCTTTCTAAATAAGAGAATTACATAACTTGTTTATATTTAGTCCTTTTCTTTCTTCCTGCCAGGAAGCTCCCGTCAATTCTAAAATTGCACTGTAGCAATCATATTGGATTTAGAGTTTGCATATCTGTTTTTTCTTCATTTCTATCTTAATTATGCATCATTGATTTGACTCATTTAATATCATTCTGGCAGTGCTTGAAGAAAGCCACTTCAAATATTTTAGGCCAAGCCAAAGAAGCACAAAAGGAGGCAGAATGTATAGTAATCCAAAAATCTGAATTACAGAAACATTCCTGTGCAAATCCAATACATGGCAGAACTAGGACCTAAACCAAAGGACGCACAGAAGAAAAAGTGCTATATGAGCACAAATTCATTTCTAGGGATAGTAAAATTAATGCTACGGACAAAAGATGGTAGCAAGTATTTTCACCTTGACATAAAAATGACGGCATTATTGTCATTTAATATTGTGATTATTTTAAAATCACTGGGAACAGAAATATTTTAGTACCCCTTTTTTCATAATACAATCTTCACACTGATTAAACACTAAATTAAAAAAAAAAAAAAAGCTCCTCCATGCAAGACATGTACTTCTTCAGAATTATAAATACTTTGACTTACACTGCATGATTTTCTCTCAGCTCCAAACAGTTTGGGATGTCACAGCTCCCAATGTGATTTAAATAAAACTCATATTTCCCTAGCCAGGGGTACTGCACACTAAAAACTAATTCATATATGTGAATGCAATATCTTGCCTAAATAAGTCTTCATTTTGAAAGTTAAAAACAGAAGAGTATGATAAATCATATTAAATAATTGATTTTGCAAAATTCAGATACTCACTACTGTACTGACCTTCTCTGCCTATTGTAAAGGACGAGCAAAAGTAAAAACTAAAACTGAATTAATTTCAGCCACATGTGATTTTATACCATTTTCCTTTTAAATCTTTATTCTTTCCAAATTATCTCTAATTTGAACAATAATGGTCATTTCATTTGGTCATTATGTATTTCAAAATTTGAGATTTTAAGTACCACATTAAGCAATATGGTTTTATAAAATTTATTATTTCAGCGTTATGTTAACAAAAGCCATGGCTTTCATATTAGAAAATAGTCTAAAGAATTTTCAAAGTTCATGAAAGGAAAATAGTGAAAAAGAGAAAAAGCACCTTTGAAACAAAATGAAACCTGTAATAACAGCTGAGTTCCAAAAAACAGAGACAACTTTTAAATCACATTGAAGAAAGATTATCACTATATGTTATATTGTATCACATTTCACATAGAATTCACATAAAACTTTCCACAGAATTTGTAATAAGATAGTTATTACTACCTTATATCCAGGTCCTAACTGATGAATTGCAAATATCTGCGCAGGGTTGAGCGCTTCACTGAATACATACACGGCACCAAGCTGACCACAGAACACCCTATTTGCATCAGCAGTTTCTGAAGATCCGAGAAAGCACTTGTCATAGCTCTATTTTTAAAAAGTCATAAAAAAATCAATGTATTATTTTGTAATGATAAAATATTTAAGGATACCTGCCTTCACTGTCATGAATACCTTAAAACATAACAATAATAACAGAAGAAAGCATCACTTAAGACTTTATGGAGTATTTAAATAACAAAGGCCAGCTAAAGATTTTTAGAAAAAGTAAATCAGTTAAATATTTTGTATCTATAGACAAGCAAATCAAACAATAATCATCTATTCATTAATCATGTAACCACTTTAGAAATGTTATACTTAAAGGCAAAGTGCTTATAATTTTATTTACAAAAGTAAAACTAATTTTAAAACTCTAATAATTTAACAATTGTCCATGTAGAGAGAAATTTATCTGAATCAGAGAATGACCATTCCAAATTTTAACCATAAACACATAAGACCTAATTTTTGAAACTATCTAATTTCTCCACCAGGGATATATATTACTCTATTTCTCCACACTAAGTCAAGGACCCTATGAAAATCACTTCCCTCTCTTCAATGAGCAGGCATTATGTAGAACCAAAAAAATAATGATCACCGAAATCTGCCACCTAAAGTAGATGGTATGGTGCTCTCCATCTGGAGAGTTGAAGATCTTAAGAAGCCACACTTACCTAGATCCTTCCCATCTCTGCTTCTTAAAATCTCACCCCAGTTTCCTTCCCCCATCCTCACATATTATTCCACACCTTAGCACTAAAAAGCAAGACATTAAATATGTATGGTATCCCTTTGGTGCCTCAATAGAATGACAAAATATTTGTGAATGAATTATGAAAACAAAAACTCCTCATCAAATACCCATTCTGTAATTAAAACTACAGGAACTGAAGAATTTACTGCATGATGTTATGTGTACATATGTGTTATTGCCCAGGCCTCTCCATTTTTTGGTGTACTATTGCAAATAACTCAAAAATTTAAGTCTTTCTTTTCTTTCTTTCTCTCCCTCCCTCCTCCTTTCTTTCCTTCCTTCCTTCCTTTTTAAATATAACTGTAGAGTTAGTGACAGTCAACAAAGGCTCTTGGGTTTCCTCCACTCTATAATAAAAACTCTCCCCTTTGGAAGGCAGACATGAAGCAGAATTTCATCTGTGTATCTAATTCTGACAAAATCATTCTCAAAAATTTACTGACTGTGGCCCAACTATGAGTTTCCAGGGCAGAAAAAGCAAACTTGTCCTATAAATGAACAGACAGTAAATATTCTAACCTTTTCAAGCCACATGTGGTTTCTGTCATATAATCTTTTTTGATTTTTGTTTGTCTGGATCTTTAAAAAAAGAAAAACCTCTAAAAATGAAAAACAAAACAAAACAAAACAAAGATTCTTAGCTCTCAGGTCATGCAAAAACAGGTCAAGGTTCAGATATGGTCTGCAGGGGGTACTCTTCCAACCCATGACTCAGGGAAAAAGCTATGGACTTTGCACATAGTACTATTTAAAAGAATACCACAGAGAACAAGAAGAGACCCTGCTCTTAAGTAAATTAAAGTCTGGAGAGATGCGGACAATACTGAGAGGTGAATTTTGTTAAAAAGAGGCAAGTTTTTATAAAACGAGGTATACTGGAATGCTCGTATATTATTGGGTTTGGAAGTACTTTTGGTACTAGAAAACATCTTTTACTTTGGTTCTAACATGTCAGGATAATGACAAGAGAAAGCCCAGAACAGAGTTCTTGAGGTTTTAACTCTAGATATTCTCTATCCAGAATCCAACTGTGTTACCTCCCTCACTACTAACAGGCTAGTCAAAACTAGTATTATGTTTGTTATTATTACAATAAGTCATTTAATTGATCTCCCTTCTGTCATTTTTTTCTTCAGAATATTCTCAATACTGCAGCCTGATGGATATTTTTAAAATATGAACCAGCATTACATCACTTGTCTGCTCAAAACCTTCCAAAGATTTTTATGCTGGGTAAGATGGGAAAGCCCAGGTATTGTGTTTGCATATAAGGCCCCTGCAGGATTTCACCCTCTGCTGTCAATCTAACCTTATCTCTTAACATTATTCTGCCCATTCCTCCCTCTGTTCTAGACATAGTGACTACATGTTATACTTAATCACTTTATTTAAAGTCTTCCTTTCACATCCAAATAAGGTACAAGACACAGTTTTTACTGCTTGAAATTCTAGAAAGAATAGAATACTGCATGGATGTTTTTGACCTAATACTTAATAATTTTTGAGCAATTTTCCTTTTTTTCACCACTAATTATCTATTTTAGCAACTTAATTATATTAAATTTAAGACCTAAAAATTCATTTAACAGAAAAAAACTTTCAAAGTACAACTATTAAGTTTCTACCAAACTATTTTATTATACAATTCATGTTATGAACAATGATAGATCACACACTCAAATACATTAAAGCACAAATTAAAAAAAAAACTTACATCATTTGTGTTAACATGCCAAGCCATATCACCATAGGATACCAGTTGTCCATTAACATAACACCGAATTTCACTGTTCCTCCATCGATTATAAATGTGGACAATGCTGATCATGTACCACTTAAATAAAAAAAATATTAAAGACCTTAATGTCATGTTTAGTTATTGTCTAAAAAAGCAATCATAACATTCATAACACACTACAAGAAATGCTTGAAAGAATAATAATAATTACACATTACTATTTCAAGCTCCCCATCTTATTTCTCATTTTGCAGATGAAAGAAGTGACTCATAAACAATAAATCTGTGATGAAGACAGACCTAGAATGCCTTGAACCCTGGAATGATACTCCTTCTACTATACCAAGATCCAAATATTATGGAAATACAATATATTTGTGTTCATTCATTACATGTATATTCTGCCAGGCATCACAAATAACCAAGTCTGACCAGACAAAGCATAGGTCCAGCTCTCCTGAAGTTCATGGTATAATGAAAGAGACACAGATTAGACAAGTAAAGATATATAAAATGACGAATAATGAAGACTACTATGAGGGAAAAAATAAAACCAGTGTAAACTGAGAAAGAATAACCTAGGAGTCTACTTTGGATTGCATGGTCAGGAAAGACCCGTCAGGAAAAACATTTTAACATTTATAATAAAATTTAGGTGATTTCAATTCCACAATTTAGATTTATTATGTCCAAGAATAATTATATATTTTTAACTTGATAATGTGTGAATATACATTAAGAATCAAGGAATGAGTTTATATTAAGTTCTAACTTTGTAGTTACTAGGGCCAACCAAAAGCATTTTAAGTGTATATTTTGATATAGAATGGTTTAAGTTCTGTAACAATTTGTGGATTCAACCCTTACTCTTTTGAAAGTTAATAACCTAAAGGTGAGAATACAGAAATATTTTTCTAAAATATAAAAAAATTCAAAAAATTTACAGATACTTGAACAAGTATGCCTTCAGTGGTTAAGGAGGGAAAATAAGACGTAGTTTCCCCCCCCCAAAATAAAAATATGTAATACAAACTTTGTTTCCCAAATTACTTAAAAGCAGTATTCATTTATTTCATATAGTATATTTTAAAAAACATAAGTCTATAGTAGTAATTCTCAACCACTAAAATACTAGTTATTTCAAGGTGTCTGAAAAACTTTGAACAAAATTCAATTTAATTCATTTCGATTCAGAAAATAAAAATAGTGCACTCAACAACTCATGGAAGGCAATAACACAAACAACATTGTTCCTCAATTATAAAAATAAAATGTCAGGTCAAACTATTTAATCCCTAAAACACAGGTCTTTTTTAAAGTTGTTTCATTTTAGGTAATCTTTAATCATTGCAAACTGAATCTTTCACTTGATCAGAAAGCAATATATATGTTTGTCCTGATTAAAAGCAGGAAAAAAAAAACATTAAAGTCAGTCATTTAACAACTCATATTTCTAAATACTACAAAATTATCAAGAAGAAGCCATAAAAATGGGAGCTTCAAATAAATTTAAGAAAAATCTTATAGTTTACATGCCTAAGAATTCAAATTTACCTATACTACCTTCACTGAGTTTAAAAATTTTCCACCAGAATGCCATCTAGGTAACACAGGAAATACAGTCTTTATATTTTGGAGTAAGATTTTTAGAAATTTCAAATTTCTAAAAAGAATACATGTAAATAAATGTCTATAAACAGAGGAGGATTTCCAGCTATCCAAAGACAAGTTTAAGATAAATAATATTAGATGTATTATTATAGTTACTACCATACCTAATATAGAAAAAAGCACTTATTTAACAAATATTTATTGAGTTCTTTCTCCTGTGTATGAGATAATTCAGTGTGCTGGGCTGGAAAGTACAAACTTTAAATTCATACAGATATAAACGGAGTTCCCAGGTAACTAGCTCTATGGCTTCTGGAAAATTATTTAGCCTCTCTGGACCTACTTCCATGTCTAAAAAAGGAGGAATAATAATGCCTACTTTGTGGAGTGACTGTGAATATTACAGATAATTGACAATGTATGAAAACTATAAAGAATAGTTCCTAATACATATTTGGCACCCATAAATAAGATAGCATTAACTAAATATCTATTTATTTTTTTATCCACTATTTCCCCAATGAGATTTTTTTCTGCTAGAATTGACATTATTTATTCCTCAGAGTCATTCATTCATTCAAAAATTTTACTGAGCATCTATTTCATGCCAGGTATCCCCCAGACTGTGGGCATACAAAGATAACATACACACCCTTAAGGAGGTTTCACCAGAAAAACAAACATGAAAACAATTATAAAACCATGACAGATATCTAAAACACAGATACAGGAGCAAAAGAAGAAACAACTGAGGGCAGAGGGAAAAGACAAGACAAATGGAGAAGGAGGGCTAACAGAGAAGTCACTAAAAGAGTAAAATGAAACTTAAGATTTAGCTTGAAGGTATGAATACAAACTGTTACGTAAACAGGAGGAAAAGAAACATTCCAGGCAGAAGAATCCTAAACCTTCACGTAACAGCGCAGAGGCCTGACAAAACTTTTCTCCGTGTTTAGATTTAGCTGCAATAACAAAGACCAGCTTGTAAAGAGAAGTGTAGGACACCTTTAGTAATTGACCTTTGTTTTTGCATAATGTGGTTATCACTAGGAATTTTGAGCAGGAAAGTGAAATGATCATATTCATAGTTTAGGAAAATAACTGGCAGTAGTGAGTAGGTGGGATAGTTAGGCAAATGTGGTTAAAAATAAAGCCAAAACTACTACAAAGGTTCAGGTAATATAAAAGTCTAAATTAAGACAAAGGCATTGGTAATGTAAAAGAAGGGGGATAGGGACTAATTAACAGAACTGACTGGAAGTAATGATACAGAAAAGGGGAGTATAAGATGGTTTCCAATTTTTCACTTAAATTGGTTGTGGTACCATTAACTTGAGATAATTAATAGAGTTAGCCACTTAATTAGCCAGATAATAAGATGTGGAGTAACAATGGGAGTTTGCTTTTGGTCATAACATTGATATTTGATAAAACTGATGAATGAAAAAATGAATGCATAGTTGAAAGAACGAACTGATCTCAGTGAAGGTCATAATAGTTACAGGAAAATTAACTTTTCTGTTCTCTATCCTTGGTACCTCAATATATCCTTTATATATGATAGGCAAGTGCCTTTTAATACCAAAGAGCCCAAACGTTGCTTGATATCTTTGACATATTTTAAAAGAAATGGGAGGAAAGTTGGAAACTGTGCACGCATATGATAGTGTGTACTTCTGAGGTCTGCATTTAATTAAGACTCGAAAATAGATCTATAAAAGAAGGAAGAAAAAAAAAACCTGTAGTAAGAATTCATAGGAGGGGCGCCTGGGTGGCTCAGTCATTAAGCATCTGCCTTCGGCTCAGGGCATGATCCCAGGGTCCTGGGATCGAGCCCTGCATTGGGCTCCCTCTCTGCCGGAAGCCTGCTTCTCCCTCTCCCACTCCCCCTGCTTGTGTTCCCTCTCTCGCTGTGTCTCTCTCTCTGTCAAATAAATAAATAAAATCTTTAAAAAAAAATAAGAATTCATAGGAAAGGGGGAGGAGCAAGAAGGCAGAGGAGTAGGAGACCTAAATTTCATCTGGTCCCAGGAAACCAGCTAGACAGGTATCAAACCATTCTGAACACCTACGAACTAAACAGGAGATTGAGAAAAGAATAGCAGCAACTCTCTGAACAGAAAAGCAACCACTTTCTGGAAGGCAGGAGATGGGGAGAAGTGAATCCGAGGAGATATTCAGAAAGATAGATGGCAGGGGAAGGGAGCCTCCGTCAGCCACTACCAGCAAGTGATAGCACAGCGGAGCACAAAATCGGAGCTTTTAGAAGTGGGCTCTGCTGAGGGACAACGCTCCAGTGGCTAAACGGGGGGAGGGGGAGGACGCGGAACCCTCGCTGGGACAGTGTGGTCTCGGGACACTCGGGGTCACAGAAAGACTGCGGGTGCCTGACTGTGGCAGAGCTCCCAGGTATCAGAGCAGGGAGGCTGGCTGCACAGATGGAAACAAGGAGTGGGCTCTCAGCTCGGGGTTGCCATAAACCCTGATCTGCGGCACAGTCGGGCCACTGCTCCTCCAGCAGGGACCCAACAAGCGGCAGATCGGAGGAGACTCCCCTTCCTCCCACGGGAGGAGCAGCACGTGAGCCCACAGCATGATTCTGCAGGGTTTGGAGACTCCACACAGGGTCGTATGCCAGAGTTAAAAATGCTCAGTCACAGGCCGGGTGAGCATGAGTGCGGAGAGACGAGTGAGACTGGAGTGATTGACTGCTTTTCTCTGGGGGTGCACTGAGGATTGGCGCCCCGAGTTCTCGGCTCCTCCGGGGCAGAGACTGGGAGGCCGCCATTTTCACTATGGTCCCCCAAAGCTGTATGGGAACAAAAGCTCCCAAGAGCAAACACGAGCAGAATACTTAGCCCGACTGGGCAAGGGCGGGGCAATTCCGGCTCCTGCAAAGACATTTGGGAACCAGGGCAACAGGCCCCTCCCCCAGAAGATCACCAAGAACAGTCAGCCAAGACCCAAGTTTACTGATCAATGAGAACAGCAGAACTCCAGCGCTAGGGGAATACTGCACATAGAACTCATGGTTTTTTTCCCCTGATTCTTTAGTAGTTCAAAGTTAATTTTTTTTAATTTAATTTTGTTTCTTTTTATTTTTATTTTTTTAAATTTTTCTATTTCCCTTTTTCAACCAACATCTTATCAATCTCTTTTTTAAAAATGTTTTTTAGGGGCGCCTGGGTGGCTCAGTCATTAAGCGTCTGCCTTCGGCTCAGGTCGTGGTCCCAGGGTCCTGGGATCGGGCCCTGCGTCGGGCTCCCTGCTCAGTGGGAAGCCTGCTTCTCCCTCTCCCACTTCCCCTGCTTGTGTTCCCTCTCTCGCTGTGTCTCTCTCTGTCAAATAAATAAACAAAATCTTAAAAAAAAATAATTTAAAAAAAAAAATAAAAATGTTTTTTATTTTTCATTTTTAGAGTCATATTCTATCCCTTCAGAGTAGGTAACCTTATTTTTGGTATATATATGTAAGCTCTTCTCTCT